AATGTATAATTCACAACTAGCAATTTGACATATATTATTTATACCAAGGTTCATCGTATCATATTTTTTCATATTGTAGCAGGGCTACAGTATAGTATTGTAGCGGTACCGGACGGTCCGCGTATCGGTAACCTGTTGGACCGGTACGTACCGTCCGGTACGAGCGGTATGCTTCAGTATGACAGACCTTGATTTATACCTTACAATTCAATTCATTTAAAGCTTCATTATAAGCTTTCTAGACCAACAACAATGTTAGCTATTTCTAAATACATCTTATAAAAAACCCATCAAAAAAATAAAAGAAAAAATAGATAATACAGAGGAACAAGTAGTTGAGTGAGAGACTGATGAAACATGAAATTATATTATATTGGGTTCCTAAAAGACGGTAAGTATTTTATTCATCTTTGATAAAAGATTGGTTAAACATTAAATAAATTAATACTGTTGAAACGTTTGGACAACAGTTGGTAATTAACAATTGTGTTATAAGCTTAAGCTTACTCATCAGACAAGTGATACAAACAGAAACATATGTGACATGCGTTGCCACCTAAACCACAAAAAAGCATTCACTGGCAACTACAGAGGCGAAGTGTCCTCCTTTTTCTTCTCCTCTGGTTTTGAAGTCGAGTTCCTGTTCTTATCTTCGGACTTGGTTTCCCAGAAACTGGCCATCTACTAGGCTTCATTGTACTTCACATCTGAAGCTAAAAAACAAGACTTGATTAGTAAGATCACAGGTTTTTGCCGTACTACATAACTTGGCTTAACTACCTAATTAACTTATTATAGAGAAGAATGAACACTATTTGCAGTTTTCTTTCTCAAAGTTGTGTCTTCAACTATTGCACTCGGAGATGGCATTCAGAACTCTTTAATAACTAAAAAAGTGTAACACCTCAGAATATACACGGTATGCAAGCTGACATGCTTGGTTTCATTTGGATTCAAGAGCATAAAATCTAGAAAACTAGAGCTTTGTTCAAAGTAAGCATTAACATACAATCTGCTAAACATATGCAATTTTGATGTCTAATTTAGACCCATGAATCTGTATTAATTCCATCTCATTTTTATTATGTCTAAAACAAGGTTTAAAAAAGTAACTAGATCGGTCGATACAGACTAGTATTTACCTATCCAACTAAGTACTGGTATTGAATTATGTAGCTTGATATCTACACAATACTTCATTTTTATATTTATTAATTTATTTAATAAAAAATCAGTATATACCGTCTGATATATCACATACCGTTACTGTACCAGTTTCTAGATTCCTAAGACCCGCATTGGAGCGAGATTTAGTTCGTTGGTCCTAGATGACACCTCACAGTGCATACAGATCAGATAAATTGTAATGTTCCTAGAAGATGCTGTAAATGGTGAAGCATTAATTTATCAGGCAAGATGGCACCAAAAAGTAACAGTTTTAACTTTTAACTATTAAGCAGCCAAAATATGATGAAAATGGTGAAACATACAATTTATCAATAGTCAGAATCTGAGCATCCACAAGCTCTTTGAAGAAAATAGGATGAAAAGCAACATACCAAAACCTGATGTAGATTGTTCTTGTTTTCCAAGAACTGAGGTTGCTGAGGAACAAGAGCCTTTACTCAGCATAATGCATTATCAAGGGAAAGGCACATTTACGGTGCGCTTCTAAGGTGTTGACTTTTTTCATTAATCATGATGAAAATATATAAATATGCTTTAAATGTTTGTGAAAAATGAAAAAGTTAATACAAATACTTCTTTGTACCTTTCTCGAGAAAAGTTTCGGGTAAGAACAAACATATAGACACAATAAATCAATCAGAGGAACATACTGATCCTACAAGACCTGACATGCAACATGGGTAACCACTGATCGACAACATTGCTTTAATTCCATATCCTTGATCAGTGATATATGATGAAACAGTAGCATAGTTGAAAATACAGTTTGTAGCACCAATTCACTACTCGGTAGACAACCTGATAACAATGTCCAAGAATTGTCAAACACATGCCAACCAAAATGGTGCTAGACTACAAACCTCATGTGCAATTGATCAGTGGGTTCAAGATTAGATTTCTTTCTTTTAATAACCAGCACATAACATGGCTACAAATATCACATCAAAGATTGTGTGGTCGATGCCTTGTCTATCAAACATAGCAAAGCATAAGTGCACTGAGACATGCTTGTTCAATCATCCAATCAGACACATCTAGCATGTAATAGTTTACAAAAGTATCATACTATGTTAGCTCATAAATAGCACAAATTGGGTACACAATACTTTAACACATGGTTTTTAAGTTTTTACGAGAACAGTTGAAATAAATTCAAAACCAAGGTAAGAACTGAATCAAGATTTACTAAGATTTTTAGTTTGCAGCTGTTTGGCACTAACCTACTAAATTTGGCAGGTGCAACAAAAGTCAGTATAAGGGAGCTACAGAGTCAGCACCTTCATGGTCTACATAACCCATACATTGTAAAAGCCATTTTCCTCTCAAGGACACATTTTCCCTCTAGAAATATATATGTAAGAAATTCCCTACAGTTCCCTTACTTTCAAATTGATTTCAAATAAAGATCATCGAGAAACTTTTGAAATCTGACAACTTTCTCCACCCAGATGCAATTTTGCTTTAATTTAGAGATATACAGTACTATTCATTAAGTAGTAAATACCCCCCAAAAAGAAACTTTTGATGCGTCCCTATTTCAATTTCTTTATTCTTACTACTTTATTGTATTAAAAAACGTAGTACAGCCAACATATATGAAACCAGAGATATCATGAGAAGGGCAACATTAAGTAATTCAGTATTTTTGCCTTTTGAAACACACAAATAGACAAAAATATAAAAGAAAAAAGGCCAACAATGTCATGGCCAGCAGCTCCAAATTTGCATATGCAAAAGATCAGCATAGATAAGTATGTTAACAGATTCAAAAAGTTCAATCACATTTAATTTTACAGCATGACATGAGCAACCATTACCAGCTAAGAAGCTCACAAATAAATGAAGAAAAACGATACTTGATTGACATTGTTATACCTTTCGATCAAGATTTTGTAGACACATCATCATCTTCAATATCCCAACTAAGATCCTCGTCATCCTCAACGACACTGAGTCTCTTGCGCAAATCCTCCCGAAGAGGGTTTACACTCTTGTCACCAGATTTTTTCTCATCATGTTCATCAAGATCCTCGATTTCATCCCACTCGAGATCATCTTCCTCCTGCACAGAATGCTGGCTTGAGACAATTGAAGAGCTGCTATCCTTGCACAACCCTACATCATCCGTCTTCCCTTTTTGCACTGTCTTACCATCTGTTTCATCATCCGACTTTGAGTTCATCTCCTCCTTGCAAATAATTTCAGGATTTTCTGCCTTTCCTGGATCGGTACTCACTCCCTCGTCAATGTTAGCTGTCGAAGTTTCCAAATTCTCGACCCGAGAAACCTCAGCATGTTTCTCCATGATGACAGACTCAAAATTCATGTCTTCCTTCTGCACCACCTTGGCAATCTCATCCTTTTTTCCTTCTTCCTGTACTTCTTTATTCTCTGTCAAAATTTCTTCTTTCTTGTCATCCTTCTCAACTTCTTCATCCTCTTCCTCATCGTCTACCTCCCAACTCAAATCCTCCTCTTCTTCCCCTGAAATCACCCTTTTCACTAGCTTTGCCCTTGCCTCCTCTGCTTGCTTGAGCTTATGGACACGATAGTAATACCGGCACCAGAATGTCTCGTAATCCACCAATCGAGGCACCAGCTTCTCAAGAAATCCCTCCAACGACCCATTCTCATAGCACAGCCTCTCAATTTCATCCTCTTTCTCGGCCAAATCAAACCCTAATCTCCAATTTTTGAAATCCTGAGCATCCTCCGGCTCCTCCGAGAACGTATTCACATCGAACTGGATCGCAAGCAGCTGCGCCTCGAACCGGTTGTACCTTCTCGAAGAAGGAGACCCATTCTGGGGCCCGTGATCGAACGGGTACTGGTCGGTTCTACTGTCCTCGGCCTCCATCGACATGATCGCTTCCTTACCCCGGGAGATGATCTCGGCCGTGCCCCGCCACACCGAACCGCCGATGTCGTCGACGATCCGGCCGACGGACTCCAGGGACTCCTGAGCGACGGAGGCACCCGCATCGAGGGAGCCCGGGAGGTCGAGGACCGCGCGGGCGGTGGCATCCCCGAGGAACGCCGTCTCCTTCTTGATGCCGGATCCGAACTCCTCGAGGTCCCGGCGGTAGGTCCGGATCACCGATTCGGACTTGGTGGCGAAGGTCTTCACGAACCCTCCAAAGCTCCAACCGCCAGTCTCGCCGCTGCCGCCGAAGCTGCCTCGTTCATCGCCGTCCGGTGAGTGGTGGGGGGATTCCGGCGGAGAATTCTTCTGCCGGGGGGAGGTCGGATCGGCGGAGAAGACGGATTTGAAGAAATCCATGGCAACGGAACCAGAGACACTCCACCGGCCGGTTGGCCACAGAGCGGACGTCTTCGTCTCTGGTGATACAGCTAAATGTACGCGTAGAGCCTACACATACGGAACACGAGTTGTGTTTGCAGGCTCGGTAAGCTGAGTCGAGCGTTTCGTGGATACCAGAAAGTTCTACCCCCAACGTTCTTCTCGTGGCTTTCATAGACGCTCTGCTGCGGTACGAATGCAGATTCTTACGTATTACCCAATTAGCTATTTTTATTATTCCGATTTTTATTTTTTTAAAATTATATTAAAATTTCTATACTTACAAAAATAAAATATTAATTTTTTTATATATAATTAAAAAAATATAAAATTAGAAATACAAATTTAAACTTTTTAACTAAACATAACTAATTACAAGGGATAATAATATGTAATTAGTCTAACATTATATTTATGAAATATTAATATATATTTTTTAAGGAGATTGTTATTGGTAATCTATTTTTGGGATAATTCCTTTTATCTCATACAATCATCAAAAAAATAAAAAAAAAATATTTTATTAAATATATTTTTATTAATAATCATATTATTATATTTTGACATCTCTCAATTATCATCTCAGAATATTGCATTGTGGATTGATGCAAACTGATATTTAACCGTTAACGTAATACAATCGGGATGTTAAAAATAGTTAACTATAATCGATAATTTATAATTAGTTTAATATTAAAAATTTATAAAATATTAATATAATTTTTTTGTCAAGGAGATTATTATTGGTAATCTATTTTTCTGTTCGGACACAAGAATTTATATTACAAACTTTTACAATGTTTTTCTGTTCAGATACTGCTTTAACAAAGCATTGTTATAGTCATAAAAAATCAATTTCAGTATTTCTGAACATTGTTATATTATTATCTGTATACGAACTAAAACACTATAACGAGGTTCCAAAATACCTTAACTGGCTTTTTATTACTCGCATCAAATACTTCAATGCAAATTATGTTTATATCCATTTGTTGACATTGTATGTAATGAAAAAAAAATCCAATAATTTATATCATGATCTCTTTATCATATATTTTTTGTTTATCAATGCAAAAAATACAGTAAATTATGTCCATATTCACTTGAAAAGAATCATAAGAATTTATATCACTGACACCTTTTATAGTATTTTTTTTATTTAGATACTATGTTTCATGTATATTTAAGTTTGTAAGAATGATATTTTTCTCCGATAATATATTATTCATTAAATTGGCAATCAAAGTAAAAGTATCATGATGAAGACAACTCAATGGTCATCATGATCAATTGATGGGGAAGTCACTATATCCCAAGTGAGTCATATACATGACCCAAGCTTTTTTTTGTATAAAAATGAATAAAGTGATGATACAATTGAAACTGAATTGATTAAGTAATAAATATTAGACGAAGTTGAATTAGATTTTGATCTAATATATGTAGCCTATGATGTTGTTAGTTAAGTTGTCTATCTACGTAACGATATGTATGACAAACATGATGAAGAGTCAAGAATGACGAAGGGAGTGAGTATTAGTCTTAAGAGAGATGATGATGAAGAAGATGAAGAATTTTTAACCAATAATATATATTTATTCGTTACATAAACAATATTTTTTTTATGATATTTTCACAAACTTAACTGTTGTTGTATAGAGGAACAAGATTTGATTAGAGACTAATGTTTGCATTCCTAAGTATCAGCATTTCATGATGGGGAGAAATTTAAACAAGCTCTAAAAGAATATATGATTTAAAGGGGTTTTGATATGAAGTATATTATCAAAATAAGTTATAAGATAAAAAAGATTTGGTGTGTAGTGAAAGAGTGTAGATGGATGATATGCACAAGTGGGAATTGAAAGTTTTTTATTAATAAAGGTTGCAATGAATATTAGTATAATTTGTCTAGAATATTAGTAGAGATTGATATATATCAAACATCAATGCATAGTATATCAAGATTACAGGCTGAAAATGATTATTATATATATCTAGAAAAGATTTGGTATTGTGTTTCTTTTATAAAAAGACATATATAATTCGGGAGATAATATGTAATCAAGTTTGAAGTGATTTTGTAGAGTCATTTATAGATTTAATTTCATTTTTAAATATGAAAATCACTTTTGACGAATTTTTTGAGTTTTTGGTGGATGTATTAGAATTTTTGGGAATAATATAAAACTTGTCTTTGATTTAGAAGTAGCACACTTATTAGATAAGTATTATGTTGATTTATTGATAGCTACAAGAGTTGATGGTGTAAATAAATCATTCCCATTTGCATTGCAACTTTAAAATTGAAAATTTGAGTTTATTGGGAGTGATTCCTATTTGAATTCTGAAGCTGTATTAGGATACTTGAATCTGTGGATATCATTAGTGATCATAATCTAGATATTTTTTTGAATATAAAAATCTTTCCTAAAGTTTATTATGGATGCTATATAATCGCGAAGCATTAAAATTGTTTTGGATTAAGCTACAAATATGAATTTATCCATAATCATATTAATGAATGGTTTTTTTTGTTATTGCTAAAACAATAAATTTAGATTATGGTATAAACAAAAAAAATATAAACTTGACAATTACATGAGACTTATTGCCATATTGAATACCACATTGTACTTTTAGAGTATCTTAAATAAAAAACTTATTTCTTGAAGTCAAACACCATAAAGTGTCAATGACTTCTAAACACATAAAATCTATGATCCTTTTAAATTTGTTTGGCTCTATAACTTGAAAATCACATCCCTATTTGTTGATAATATTTTTTGTATTATTATAAGATATGCAAATTAGTTAAACTTGATGGAGAATCATATATATATATATATATATATATTATATATATATATATATATATATATATATATATATATATATATATATATATATATATAGAATAAAATATAGCAAAAAGAGATGATCCAAAATCCAGCATGTATGATAACAGTGAAAAGAAATATTGCATTGAAATAAGTAGCTTTTAGGATGACATAATAAGTGTTGATGATATCTCCAGACATGAAGATTACCTAATCCAAATGCAAATTAAATTCTGATTACATGTAATGAATCATAACTCTAAAAATAGTTAGTGTTTTGGCCAACATGATAAAACAATATAAAACATATTGGAAAATATTATCTATGAAGCAAACTAACTATAAACCTAAAAATTTGGTATCACTTGTAATGTTTTTCAATAACATTATAATATTGTTAATATCTCAATAAAAATATTATAATGTTATTAAAATATACCGAGGCATATAAAATTAAAATGTATAAAACATTTGATATATCATACTAGAATCAAAATAGGTATTTATAATAGTTTACTAATAACATCAATCAAATGGTGATAACAAAAAAATTAACTTGATATAATATTTTGATCACTACACAAAAAAAATTATAGAATATATTTGATAATATTGTAAATCATCCGGATGGAGTCCTAATCTCAACAAAACCAATTATACTATTTAATAGGTTAATAACAATATTATGATAATTATAGTGCTTAATAGTTTATGAACAATGTTATGCAAATTAAGATTTATAATTAAATTGAAAGACAATAGTGCTAAGCAAAACTACGACAAAAATAATTAAATGAGGAGACAATAATAGTATGTAAAATTATACAAATATAAGGTCATAAAAAAAGATTGAATAAAAATATAGTAAAAATTAAATAGAGAGACAAGTATTTGTCAGTGATACAATTGAATAATTTGAAAAAGAAACATAGACGACTGATAAGAGAGGAGACAATCGACGAGTCTCCTATAGTCGATAGAAGAGAAAAATTAAATCATCATAAGAGAGTATATAAACCTATTTCGAGGGAAGTGAGAGCCTATGTGATTATGTTTATGATAAGAAAACACGATCGGATTAGTATACTACTCATGGCTTGGAAATCAACTTAAACTAAACACGATCGAACGATTGGATTGAACCCAATCGGATTTCTAATGACAATCGATAAATCTCATATTGAAAAGAATATCAAGTCTCAAAATCATTCCTCTCATCAAATCATTCCACTCGAACTCAATCCTCACCACTTCACCGTATGGATTGCCATCACTCGGGTCAACATTTTGACTCGAGCCTGCTATAAGCCACGTAAATTGGGACGGGGAGATCGGATCGGGCACGATGCAGAGGGTGCCGCTCACGTGTCTTGGGAGACACTTTTCCACGCATCACCGACGTCACGCGGGTGGTGTCCCTCGCAGATACGAAGTGGGCCCCGTCGGAGAATCGTGGTGGGTCTTCCCTCAGCAAAGGCTGGTAAGTCTCGTGAGTGGGTCGAAGAAGTACACTTTTATCTCGTCTTCGCTACGCAATTCGTGTTGAAGATTTTCTTCGAGGCGAAGAAACCCACCGAAAAGGTCAATAAAAAGGGCCAAATTCTATTCTCACACCCAGGAATGTACACTGAGATAAACGATCCGCGGTCCCACAGAAGTGGACGTTTGTGGCCAGTTCATGCGCGAGTAGGCGATCGCGTAAACGCACTCGAGTAGCAAAATATTAATCAGTTAAGAAATATTCCTCAACTGGAAGCTTAAATCGGAAGCGAAGTCCAACCAACGGCCAGATCTGTTCCACGGGTCCTACACATGTAAAGCGGAGAGAGTCCCTTACGCGTTCTATTAAAGGAGAGAGAAGAAAAGAACCGATAAGTACTGCGACGGAGCGATGGGTTCCTCCTGCACTCGCTCTTCTCGCTGTCTTCTCCCCTACTTCGTGATCGGCTTCTCATTGTGCTCTTCGTTGCTCTTCTCGATCGCGATGGCGGCCATGGTCGGAGGGTTGAAGGAATCGGAGGGTAGCCAGAACAGCGCCGAGATCGAGGAGCTCGCCCGCTTCGCCGTTGACGAACACAACAAAAAGGAGGTATTGCGTTGCTCTGGTTCCTCCATTTCTTCGAATTTCGTCCTTTTCTTTGAATTTGATTTTTATATTATTTTCTTTGGGTGTTCTTTTGACGACAACTTCTTTGCTGAGTTCGATCCTTTCTCCCGAAATCTACCGATCTGAATTCTGATCTCTGTATCTTGCGATCCTTTCTGTTTAGGGTTTCGACTTATCT